ATTTTTTTCACTCGATTCACACCCAAACGCAAAAAAAAAAAAAGGGACCATGTATTTCACACATAATAAAAAAAAACTTAAATACCGCGAAAAAACTCAAAATCCAAAATCCAAAAATATAAATATATACAATTTCGAAAAAAATGAACCCCAACAACACGAGTTGGAATAGTACAAAAAGCAAATCAAGTAGCAAGAGTAGTGAAAACTCTAGAACTACTGATAAAAAATCGATTAAATCGTTTCATTTACCTCAATCAAATTCGCAAGATTTTACTTCTGATCATGAAATATCTGATCAAAAATGGTTGGATGATTTAGTTCAACTTCGTTATGTAAAATTTATTCCATTCGAGGAATTCGAAGATCCAAAAATTATTGAACGTGGAAGTAATGGTGATATTAGTTCTTACAAAAGTTTAAAATGGAGAAAGATGAAAAAACGTGTGGTTGTTAAAGAATTAAAAAATATTTTAAATTTACCCGAAAATTTAAGGGAATCTTTTGTTAGAGAGGTAATTTTTTTTTGTTATCATTAAATTTTAAAGTTTTATTTAATTTAATTTAAATTTAATTTAATTTAATTTAATAACATCGTTTTCGTACAGTTACAATGGCATCTGAATGTCGATTTTAACGAACGAATAATTCGTATTTCTGGTTTAACACAAGGTAAATTCTTTTATCTTTTATTTTTTATTTGATATTTTACCTATATCCATAATAATTCCTATATAATACTTATGACGCTTTCGGCTTTTTCAACTTAAGAATCACCTCAATCAATATACCTCCTGGTATTACAACACGCGGATGGTGGTTCATTACAAGAATACTTGTCGAAAAACTTTAAAAAACTAACGTGGAACGACAAACTAACGATGGCAAAAGAAATAGCCGAAGGGCTAAGATATTTACATACTAATAATATAGTTCACGGAAATCTGGTAATTTTAAATTTCATTTTATTAATTTATCAAATTATTTATCAAATTATTTTTGAATTATTTTCGAATTATTTGTCAAATTATTATCCAATTAATTATCAATTATTATTAATTATTATTAATGTTTCCAATTCTTTAAAAATATTATATTTTTAGAATTCACGAAACGTAATGTTCATTCAACAAAAATTGAAATTAACCGATTTTGGCATAACTCATAGTGTAGTTTCAACTTCATCTAACCCTATTAGTAACATTCGTAAAATATCATACACAGATCCTCAAATTTTATCTGTTTATTTGTCAACAATTAATTCATCTCAAACTTCTTCTTCTTCTTCTTCTACTACTTCAATTCCCGATTTTTCTCAACTTCATGCTTCTTATTATAATTTATTATCTCAAAAATCTGATATTTATAGTTTAGGTGTTTTATTTTGGGAATTATCATGTGGTCGTACTCCTTTTTCTGATCATAGAAATCCCCCTGCTCAAGATTTAGCCAATGCTATCATAAAAGGTTTAAGAGAATTACCTACTAAGGATGTTCCTATCGATTATTTAAAATTATATACTTTATGTTGGGATATGGATCCTGAAAAAAGACCTGTTAGTGAAACCGTGTTAATGATGTGTAAAGATTTAATAAATAATGGTGATTCTACTAAAGGTCTGGAAAAAAATGTTAATAATCGTACTACGAATACACGTAAAGGTTTTGAAGAAGGAACCGGAAGTAAAAGTTTGTATTTCTTTATATTCACTTTATATTCACTTTATATTTATATTGACTTTATATTTATATTGACTTTATATTTATATTGAATTTATATTTATATTGAATTTATATTTATATTGAATTTATATTTATATTGATATTTAATTCGTAAATATATGTAACTAATATTGAAATTATATAAATTTTTTTTCTTGTAGTGACGGAGCAGAATTCAAAAAGAATGACTAGGATGTCTGATTTTGGTATTTAACGTTTTTTTTTATTATGTGTGAAATACATGGTCCCTTTTTTTTTTTTTGCGTTTGGGTGTGAATCGAGTGAAAAAAAT